CCCTTTCGTTCTTCCTCTTCTATCACGTGTGTCCTTGTATGAGGAATGCATGTCTGTTTTCTACTGTGTTGTGGGAATTTCGATGTGTCACGGTCATTTTCCAATATATTCTTTTATGGTTTATATCGGTATGGTGTTTTGCTGTTTTGGGGTTTCTTACTAGAATAAATACCGTGCACAAAAATGTAAAACAGGAGAAAGAATGGGTATGCATACATACAAGACGAACGCACGCACGTACATATAGTAAATATAAATACATATATGAATATATATATACATATATATATATATATATATATATATATATATATATATACATACCTAATATATATACATAGGTACATATACATGCATGTATGAATGCACACACACACACACACACACACACACACACACACACACACACACACACACACACACACACACACATGTATATATAGAGAGAAAGAGAGAGAGAGATACATATATACACACACATACACTTTTTTATTTATATACACAAGCATGTGTGTGGGTCGGTGTGAAGCATAAACCGCGGTGGTATGACAAAAATGGAACTCAAAAAAAAACATGGCCTATCAAAACTATCGTAAAAAAGCAATAAACCCATGGACGTGAGTCCATAATTCATAAATCTTTAAGAATGATTTTCTTTGTAAATAAAAATTGTTTATAAGGAAAACGAAACTTGAACGTCACTCGCTGTCGATCCTATAAACACTGGTACACACAGCTAAAAATCTGATTAATACACACATACGTACATACTGTGAGAGAGCAAGAATGAAGTAGACACACATCGATATACACATAAATTGAGAAACAGACAGCCATGTAGACAGGTATCTAAACGGAAAGACATTTACACAAGTAAACGTCAACAACCTCCCCGCCAACCGACCCTTAAAACTACAGAAGCCCAACCAACAAACCCGGGCAACGGAAACCACAGTTGCCCCGCCTGTGATCGGAGGCAGTCGATACCAGGACATAAATTTACCTTAAGCAATGGCACGTGAAGCACAGACAACCCACTTCGGCCAGCCAGAACCTTGATCTCCCCATCGGGTGGCTGAAGGGCGGAACCCATAAAACAGCGGCCCGTTCATGCCACTCGCCTTTAGGGACTTAAAGGTCAAAGTCACACGCGTTCCGGCTGCTCGCTCGCTCCTCCGTCGCGTGGGTTGCTGCGTTCAAACTTCTGCCCTGGCCGGAATGAGGCAGTCGAGAAGTTCCTCGGTGTCTCTACGAGTCATAGGCTGTTGTGTGCGGCGGGAGAAGTTCCGAAGGAGTTGGTAGGACAAGGGCGCGAACAATGCTCCTCGGCGACAGGTGTTCCGGGCTCCTCGCTCTCGAGAACATGGCCAAAGACGCTGGCGAAGGCGTTGGGTCTTGGAGGAAAATCAGAATCTTGCAGCTTCTTAATCTTTATTTGATAACGACTGTGCCTATTATCTCCGTTGGACCTTGGGGTGATTTAATAGGTACGGTCCTCGATATGAGACGATTGTGGAAGATCTGATTACACTGAGATTAAAAACGACTGCGCACACATGCCTTTACGTCCAGTTTTACATTCCTCATCGTCTGGATTCCTCTTAATATGAACGTCATTAGGTAACGAAGATTTGCGGGAAAATATCATTACGTCTCCGTCTATTATATTCCTAAACATAAACAAAAATACAATCATCTAATCTTCTGAGGCTTTCATCACATTATTGCAGTGTAAGAACCGAAACAAAGCCTATATACTAACACGCAACACTAACACGTGTTAACCATCACCGCTTCTGAAATCACAACAAGTACTTTAAAAATCTCTCTAACCAAAACACTACTCCTATACCCCTTCTACACAAAAACCTCCAAGAGCAATAACTCAATGAATAAACTTCAATTCTCTCCTTCTTTCTCCTCCCTCAACACTTCCACTCGGATAACACAGGGGCATAATACATCGAGATTACACGTACGGACGCCAAGAAGAACTGTACGCGAACCAACACACACAAGGACTGGCTCAACAGCACCTCGGAGGCACCCGGAGGCTATTATCTTCTTATCTGTCTGTACACCTTTCCGTTAACCCACTTCTGTCGGCGATTTTGGAGATGATGAGGTTGAGGGCGAGGGAGAGAGGAGGCGAATCACTTCAGCTCCTGATTAGAACCAACGTGAACTCTGTTGTTATGGGAAACAGGGAGGAGGGAAGAGTCAATTGTGATGCGCGTTGTGACGAAATTTAATAACAGGCATCTCATGTCCGGTCAAGATATCTACACTCTTTGAAATAAAGTGTAGTAGGAATCTTCGTCGCTACCATCGCACTCACGCTCACTCTCACACAAAAGAACATGCACACGCAAACGCACACGCGCGCACACATACACATACACACACACACATGCATACATACATATATCACACACACACACATATATATACATATGCACGCGCGCGCGCGCACACATACACACACATATGCATGTATGCAGCGAGAGAGAGAGAGAGAGAGAGAGAGAGAGAGAGAGAGAGAGAGAGAGAGAGAGAGAGAGAGAGAGAGAGAGAGAGAGAGAGTGTGTGTAGAAACAAAGAAGAAAAAAGCCTTCGCGGCGCCACAGAGAGATCCCCTTGGGTCAGGACTTGGCCCAGTAGAAACGGTTACCTTACGAGGTTAAATTAGGTGACAGGTAATAGTCTTTCTGATATATTACCTGCAGAATCCACGAACTATGGTCTCTGATTTGCATCTGAATAACAGCAAATTATATGGAAATTGCTTGCCTCCCGCCGGTTGCGGCCCTTACGCTTTCACGGTCTTTCATATCTTTATTACATATTCCTCCTGTCTATCTTGCGGTTTTCTCGATCTACTTGTTTACGTCGTAAATTAACAATGACGCTAATGATAAAATGGTGCGATGTGTTTGAAGTCCCTCTTATAATTTCAAAATTTAAAATAACACAAATAAATTATATAAGGACATATATAATATATATATCAAACGTTACAAATTTCAGGATACATATATATACATATATTTATTTATTTACATATAAAGGATATATCAAACTCTTGATCATTTCCTTAATTGTAAATTCTCGAAGCATTTAAATACTTCCAAACAGACCCATCATGCACAGTTGCAACCAAAACTTTCAAGACACTTTGCATTCTAATGATGCTATAATCACTCCCCTATTTACATATCATCGACCATCGTTGCTTTTTGAATGCCAATTTAGTCACATAGATCGCTAAATAAAACATCGTTTAAGTATAGATATTTAAGCCATATGTAGTGAAGTCAATGACCGTCTGGCCCTTGATAATTTCGCTATGGATAGTTAAGCTAACAATTATTCAGGGATAGTTAGCTAACGTTATATATAGCAATAAAAACGACCACTAAGGCATAGATAATTAAATTCTAGCTCATTACCATTTAGTATTTTTTTCCGCAGACGCCATCATAATCTATTCATGATTCAATTTATACCTAAAATATACGTTTTTCATTTGTAACCTGAGGAAAATTCATAACTCATTTTATACCTCTTGCTAAAATTTCTATTGATTTATCTAAATATCTAAATATACCTCTCTTTCTATCTTTATGAATCTATCTATCTATCGACACCTACATCTCTATCTCTCTACACCTATTTATCTGAACTGATTTATCTACCTACACTTATCTACATATCTACATCTCTCTTTATAACTGTCTACACCTTCCTATCGGCACTGTTTATCTACCCACACTTGTCTATATATCTGTATCTATATTTCAATCTATATGCACCTATTTCTCTATCTCCACCTATCTATCTATATATCTATCTGTATTGATTTATCTATCTACACATATCTATATATCTACATCTATCTCTCAATGTATATGCATCTACCTATCCACACCTATCTATCTGTACTGATTTATCTATACATCTACATTTATCTACTCTATCTAAATGCCCCTATCTACCCATCCACACCTATCTATCAATCCATTTATCAATTCATCTACCTATTTACCTATCTACTGACCTATCTTCCTAAATCGCCCCAAACGAAAACTACAGTAGTCTCCCCCACAATGCTAATCAGCAGACTGCCCATTTGAGGCGAAAAATCTAAACCAGTAATCTAGTTGAATTTACCCGAGACGATATGCTGGGAAGAAGATAAAACATGTCGTATCTTATCTCGGGCTTCAATGATACAAACAATTCCGCGTGTGTTGTCAGTTTCGTCAGTTTTATTGGATTATTTGATTGAAAAGGAGGCGCAGGGAAAATCAGCTGACGCGATCGTATGGTCGATAGAAATATGAAGAGGAATTTGAAGATAAAGACTTGGTTCCTTGTGTTCCTTGTGATTCACAGTGCATATGAGAATTATAAGCATAATAATTTGATATATCATTAGCATATGCAGTATATATTCTGTGCTCATGTATGTATGTATGTATATATATTGTGTGTATGGGGGGAGTGTATGTATGTATGTATGATTGTATATGTCTATGTATGTATAGATGTATGTATATATGTATGTATGTATATATGTATGTATGTATATATGTATGTATGTATATATTTATGTACATATGTATGTATATATAAATGTATGTATATATGAATGTATGTATGTATATATGTACTTATGTACGTATGAATGTTGGTTATGGAAGTATATGTACACACGTAAGTGTATACGTGTATGTGTGTGTTTGTGTGATTACCCATCTGCCTGCCTGTCTGTCTGTTTGCGTGGCTGTGTCTGTAAATATATACACATATCAATATACATATATAAACATATATATATATATATATATATATATATATATATATATATATATATATATATATATACACATATATATATATATATACCTATATGCAAACGAAAGTTGCCTAACACATAATGAAGCGCAAGCTCGAAGCAAAGGAAGCCGGAGGCCAAGACAAGCGCCGCGCTGCCGTACCTGAGCTGCTCCTCGTGTAGGTGTGCCTGGCAGGACGCCACATCTATGAACGTATCCGACCCGTAGAGCGATATCATCGCCATGGCCAGCTCCCGCATATGCTGGTTGAGAGTCCCTACGACCATCGACTGCTGAGCCAAGTCGGGCAGGACGGGCCTGTCCAGCACCCTTCCGAGTGTGTTCCCCGCGGTGCCCTTGTGAGCCGAGTCCGGTGAATCAGGCACTCCGCTGTTCCTCCACGGCTCCTTCTCATCCCATCGTTGCGGTTTCCCCGGGGCGCCAGCTGCTCGCTCTACGCATTCATACCTGCCTTCGCCCGGGAAGGGTCTCCAATCGTCTGAGTCGAATCTCTGATAACTGGGTCTCTGGTATCGCATCAAGACCGGGTGCTGATCTTTGGGTTTCGAATTACCGGGAGGACTGTCCAGGCCGGAAGAGCTTTTTGTGAACACCAGATCAAAGGAGCTGTTGGACGCGTAGCCACTCCGAGGGCTGTCAAAGCCACTGTCGCTCCCGGTCACTTTCCTCTCGCCCGTCCTCCGTAGCAGAACGTGGGGATTCGCACCGAGGATGCTTTCGTGAATATCCGGACTGCCCTTTTCGTCGGCGCTAAAGAAGCATGAATCAGAAGCCTTAATGCCAGGGCTGCTTAGCTTCTTCACTCCGCTGGTCTCTGGGCTGGACTTCGATACAGGATCTCCGTGTAAGTCTGTGAAAGTCAATTCGTGATTCACAGAACCCGTATCTTTCCTATGCCCGGGGTTAGGCCTACACCCTGTCAGTTCATCATTCTCTCTCTGAGCAACAGATGAAGCTCCATTTCGCCCTACTTCGGAGTGGGGATCGGCTTTCCTACTCACACACCCAGCGGGAGGCGAGCAGCGGTACATGCTCCTGTCTTCCTTTACAATCTCCCAACGGACACCTCTCTCTGCCGTTCCTCTTGCCGCTGTCTACTCGCACACATTATGGCAACAAGGGCCAATTTCACTCTGATTCCTATTCCCATTCCAGGTGGTGTCACTTGCCCACAACTCGCGGAATGGAGCGAAGTCCTGGAGATGATGCCAACCCCAGCTCCACCTGAACACTACCATAGCTCTACTTCGCCGTCTCAGGCCTTATCAGGTTATCAGCTGATATCCAAACCTCGTATTAGTGGAGAGGTGACTGTTTTCCTGTGTTACAAAGACAGCAAAGAGTTTCTGTTGTTGTCTCTCAGAGGGGAAAATCACACCTTCTAGATTTATAGACTAGATTGTGTTCCTTACTGTACAAAGGCGTTTTGAAATTACGTTCTGATAATATTAGCATAACAACATTAATGTAGACACATTATGTTTATCATGGATATATTACGCTACAAATGATACTTGACATACATTTCTTGGAGGCATGTTTATTTCATTACATATATGCAGTGTGTATAAATGCAATTCCTTCTACATC